CTATGGATGTCACATTCTTTGAAGGAACCTCGTACTACAACAACTCCCATTTTCAGGGGGAGAGCAACACTAGTGAATATGGTTTTTTAGATGGTTCTGATTTAATGKTTGAATTTGTCCATAATGATGTTCCTCACAACCAGTCACCGAAAGAAAGCGAGGTAGAAAATACAAAATTAGTGGAAACAAATGAATTAAATATTGAAAATAAACAACCTTTGGTGATGCCATCTCAAAATGAAAAAGCTGAAAAACAGAAATGCGTGCGAAATAGTATAAAGGCCTTGTATATCGAATATCTAGCACAGAAAAGGAGAGGCACTATTCCATAGCATCAACAAGAATTTGATCTAAGGTTGGAGCATGAAACTCATGATAATTCTCCAAAAATCCCTGAAAATATTCCTCCAGGAAATTCTAATTCTTCCAGTCAGCTTGATCTTCCCATTGTTCTCAGGAAGGGTGTTAGATCTTGTACAAAACATCCTCTGTCAAATTTTGTATCTTAGAAAAATATTTCACAAGTGTCTAGTGTATCCATTACTAATAGTATCCAGGAGGCTCTAAATGTTCCTGAGTGGAAAGAAGYTGTTTTTGAGGAKATGAGAGCTTTGGAAAAGAATGCTACTTGGGAGAAAGTGGACCTGTCGGATGGAAAGACAGTTGTTGGTTGTAAATGGGTGTTCACTTTGAAGTACAACTCAGATGGATCCTTGGAGAAATACAAGGCTCGCCTAGTAGCGAAAGGCTTTACTCAGACATATGGAGTAGACTACTCTGAGTACTCTTATCTATTGCAGCTAATCTTGATTGGCCACTGAATCAGATGGATGTGAAGAATGCCTTTTTGAATGGAGACTTGGAAGAAGAAGTATATATGGAGCCTCCACCCGGTTTCACTGAGAAGTTTGGAACTAAGGTATGCAAGCAAAAAAAATCTCTATATGGACTTAAACAGTCTCCTAGAGCCTGGTTTAAAAGATTCACAAGGTTCGTCAAAAGTCAAGGATATAGTCAAGGACAATCTGATCAATACTCTTTTCACAAAAAGATCCACCAAAGACAAGGTTTCGGTTTTGATTGTTTATGTTGATGACATAATCTTGACTRGAGATGATATTGAAGAGATGAGTAGACTAAAGCAGAGCCTAGCCAAGGAATTCGAGATTAAAGACTTAGGCCAGCTAAGGTACTTTCTTGGAATGGAAGTGGCAAGATCAAAGAAGGGCATTGTGGTTTCGCAATGAAAATATATTTTAGATCTCTTGAAAGAAATTGGAATGAGTGGATGAAAACCTTTAGACACTCCGATAGAAGTTGATACTAAATTTGGAGAAGTTAAAGATGGGGTTCCAGTAGATACAGGAAGATACCAAAGATGGTAGGAAGATTGATTTACTTGTCACATACACGTCCTGATATTGCCTTCGCCGTGAGCATGGTGAGTCAATTTATGCACTCCCAGTACGAAGAACATCTTGAAGCTGTGTATCAAATTCTTAATGTGAATAAACCCTAGTTGTTTCTAGGTCAAAGTAGAGAAGAAGAAAGAAGAAAGAAGAAAGAAAAAGGAAAGAAGAAGGAGAGGAGAAAAGTGTTCGGCCAGACTAGAAGAGAGGATGTACTAAAGTACCTCTCCTAGCCAACCCACTTGACTTTTATTCATGAAAACTTGAGTTACAAGAAAGACAATTTTGTCCCTCATAGAAGATGGGACACATAACTTAAACTCAGATACAATAGACATTTCACTTTCAATAAGATACACCAGAATGATCAAAATACCCCTGACTCGAGCATTCTAACACTTAAGTACCTAAAAGGCACACCGGGAAAAGGA